CTGATATCGCAGTAGCTTTTGTTTCAGCTGAGCTTGCAAAACTTGTGAAAAAAACATCGATCCAGGTCTGTGATTTAGTTCTTTCTCTAGTTGAGTTGCTTGTTAATCTTGGCTGCAATCCTTGAATTAAAACTATTTTTAGAAGTTTTTGTACTTTTGTTGTCTTAACTCCGCAGAATATGTGTTTACAATTAGTTTGGCTTTTTGTACTCAGTAGAATATCTAAAGTTTCAATCTATTCAAACATTTGGTGATTTGTATAACACAGTTAAAATCGTTTTTTCTCCCTCTCTCAATACTTTTACCAATGAAATTCATAAATGTAGTAGGTTTGTAGTAGTCCTTATGCTTTGATATTTGTGTTGTTTTTTGATATATATTCCTACCCCCCTCCTATTTTTGCTCCATTGCGTGCAACAATGTTTGATATCCATTTAGAACTAGCGCATTGTTGTTTGTATTTTTTTGCACCGTGTCTCTGTTAATGCTATTGCAAATGGTTTGCTATCCATTTCTGAAAGAAAAACTTCCAAACTACTAAAATTTTTATTTAGTGATATAAAATTTTGTAGAAGTACGATCCGCGACAGAAATTTTTTAAAACTCAATCCGTTTTGTTTCTACTGCTATTTCTGCTTCTATTTTGTTATTCTCAATTTCTTTTTTCCTTTCTTTCCCTTTTTTCCTTTATTTTCTATTCTTGTATGTTTCGTATAGAATTTGAGATGAAATTGTTGTTAGACCACGAAAGTCGCAGTATACACAAAATTTAATACTTACACACATATCTTCTGATGTCTGCATGAAGCAACACCGCGGAAGTCGCAGTTAAGGCTTCAAATTTATTCTCACTTGCAGGATGCTAATCTTGATTTAATTGAGGAGTTGATTTAATTGAGTGTGCTTTCAGACGAAAAAATAAACACCTAAAGTTTTATTTTTTCAATCAACTACTTCCTTATAATTAATATAATTTCAAGCTCGCCTTAGCAAAAGTTCGGCTGAGTGCTCGCTGCTCAAAAATGCAAATTTGAGCAGGAATACAAGAAACATTGAATCTTCAAGCTACATTCTTTTACATGGGCATGCTAATCGACGCACATACAGTAGGCCACACCCGCGCCAACTTTGTCTCAAAAAATTTCTAGGAGCCCTTTGGCGGCAAAATACAATTCTTTTTAGCAGGGAGCGCTTAGCAAAAAACATCTTTTGCGCGATTTCACTTTTTCGCGAATTATGCGTTGATTAAGTATGCGGTCACCCAACCTTATCTTCCTTCCCCCTCATGTTCAAGCACACTTCTCAGACTTTGAACCTGTTTGCGATCCACGCTCATCCAAACTTTATCATACATTTTTTTTAAAAAATTTTTAAAGTAAAATTTGAGCGGTTTGAGCGGTTTTTTTAGACAATTACGCTCAAAATCTTGCTTCAAAATGAGCGGTTTGAGCGGTTTTTGAACGGTTTATCTAAAAAAACCGCTCAAAAACCGCGCAAGATTTGAACGGTTTTGAGCGGTTTTTTAGATAAACCGCTCAAAACCGTTCAAATCTTGCGCGGTTTTTGAGCGGTTTTTGAGCGGTTTTTTTAGATAAACCGTTCAAAAACCGCTCAAACTGCTCATTTTGAAGCAAGATTTTGAGCTTAATTGTCTAAAAAAACCGCTCAAATCGCTCAAATCTTGCTTCAAATTAGGTGAAAAATCTCGACTCGGGCCGAGCAAGTTTGAAATTTAATTTAAAAAAGGTTATGTTTGATTGAAAAAAAAAAGATTTTGATGCTTTGAAGTATAATATTATTATAACCCATTTTAAGGCATTTTAAACCAATTATGTAAGATATATAGTCCGACAGTCTACGAAATTGGGAAAAATTCCCGACTTTTATCCATGGGCGCGCAGTGCAGACGGATGGCATTGATAGTTAAATTATGAATAGAAAACAATGCATGAAGACGTATATGTAGATATGCTCTCAAACTTGGTCACAAAATATTTTAATCGAAAGATAGTATTTTGGAATTTACTATTTCTAACTGTTACAAGGCTCGCTGGGATCGGAATGTGTGTGCAAACATAATCACCCAACTGGGTTATGGACAAGGTCGCCTCAATATAATCGGTGGCCAGGGCGGGTTCACCCAGACATTCATCATCCCTACCTCAGTGAAGAACTCACATGTCCACTTCCTTCAAGGGTCCCAACTTCGGGTAAAATTGACCTTCTCTTGGTTCATCATATACGTCATCCTCCACGACAAACCCTCTTTGAAACCGGATGTTGAAAATATTCCGGTGACAAGCGATGTGGCCAAAAAAGGAGACCGGTCTGGATCAGAATCTAGACCAGGATCTGGATCAGGATCTGGATCAGGATCTAGATCAGGATCTGGATCAGGATCTGGACCAGGAGCTGGATCAGAATCTAGACCAGGATCTGGATCAGGATCTGGATCAGGATCTAGATCAGGATCTGGATCAGGATCTGGATCAGGATCTAGATCAGGATCAGGATCTGGATCTGGACCAGGATCAGGAGCTGGATCAGAATCTAGACCAGGATCTGGATCAGGATCTGGATCAGGATCTAGATCAGGATCTGGATCAGGATCTGGATCACGATCTAGATCAGGATCTGGATCACGATCTAGATCAGGATCAGGATCTGGATCTGGGCCAGGATCAGGAACTTGATCAGAATCTAGACCAGGATCTGGATCAGGATCTGGATCAGGATCAGAAGCTGGATCAGAATCTAGACCAGGATCTGGATCAACTCAACGACACCTTTTGAGTTTGGATTCATTCGAACTCTTCAAAACCCATAACATTTCAATAATCCATTCGAGATAAAATAAAATATCACGAGGACACATTTGATGATTGGTTAAATCTCAGACATTGGCGGACGTTTAAAACATGGCGTCTTCATTTGCAATCATTGATGAAAGTTCAATTTTTTAAGGATCCAGATGATGATTGCGTTCTCTGGTTCCGCTCTACTAGAAATCTATAATTATTTAAAGTGACATTCCTTATGAATTAAAAACATTTTTTTCCATAGTTACCCGGGTTGACCAAAAATTCTTGTCATACCATTTCCATATATGAGAAACTTCTTGTCATACAACTCCATACATTTCGATGCGTTCAGAAAATTGTATGAAATCGCAAGATAAACTTTTTTCCATATATAGAAATCTGTATGACTAGAAGTTTCTCAGATGAACATGAAAATCGGTTAATGCCTACAAACATGGGTGAAAGCTAAAAAAAATGTTCTGGAGCGAACTCACATAGGGATCTAGCCAACAAGAAGTTACAGAATTTTTTGTGTCCGAATAGGAAATACTCCCATGTTAGCTACCAGTGAGCGAGCAAGAGAGACCCTGAAAACACAATAACATACACTAGAAACCTGAAAACAAAAAAAAACATCAGACAGCATCTAAAAACATCAAAAAATCTCAAGAGCACGCAAAAGCGCAACCAATTTAATAAGACATTTACGAAATATCGATTTCGACGAGTTGTCGCCTCAAAAAAATTCACATGACTTGAAAACAATACAGAAATTTTCAAACAAACATTAGCCAATGATTTTTTTTTGTAAGCCATGATATAAACAAAATATTACAATTGAACAATTTAATCAGACGTTACCATGGCCAATCAAAATTGACCACAGCTGATCAAGGAGAGATGGCGAAAACCGATGTCTTTAATACATAAATGGTCTTTTACAACCCGGGTACTCGCTAAAAATTTGTTTAGAAGGAGCTATGGCCTTTTCATTTTTTCAGCCACTTATAATGACAAGCCACTTACAATGACAGAATAAAAGTCATATAAAAAGACTATTGCTTCGACGGAAAAGCCTGTGCCTTTCATAGATCCTCTGCGAAATCGCAGAAACTTCAATTATAATGATTATTAGTTCAAGTGAGATATCATATTCGAAACTTCTCAGTCTTTATTCGGACTCTCAAAATCATCGAAACAAAGTTCCATAATGGTTTTCACGGATTTATCATTTCAATATAAGTAAAAACAACGATTATACATTTGTTGATTCTTTTGAAATATCTTCTGAAAAGAATCAGAAGAAAACATCAGAGGTCGCATCATTCTGGGCTACTTGTTCATCAACGGTCAACGGAAAAATGATTTTAAGCTTTTTCTAGTTTTGTTTGTTTTGGTTTTGACTGTTTCATAGGATGCCGAGTAGAAACTTAGACTGGAAACTTTTAGGCAAGGCAAGTTCAGGTTTAAGAAATATACGTTACGTCGAAATGAGTATACAAAGTAATGTATCAGAAGTCTTTAAATTGAATGCTAACATATACTAACTTTGAGGGGGAGCGAGCGCCAAAAAAACGCGATTTTTTTGTCAAAATTTTTCAAAAAGTGCCCAAAAACGGCTTTTTTGACTGTTTTTTCAAAAATTTGCCTGCAGCGCTGAAAATTTTTCCAAAATAGGGGCAAAACAGTGCTTTGGGAGAGCTCGAAAAGTCAATTTGGTCAACCTAAAAAAAAATCGTCAAAATTTTGGAAAATTTTTTGAAACTCCGCAATCCCCCCCCTCCCCCCTCGAGAAAATCCTAGATCCGCCCCTGACTGTGATGATTATTATTGCTGCAAATTAGCCGACTATTTTAGCTACAAAAATTATAAACAACACTAGCTTTAACTTAATAGATTATGGTAGGAGCAGATTGCTTTCGCGACATGGGCTTAACCTCATTAAGTTTTGAATATCTTGCTTGATTTCGCTGGAAAAATAAGAGCCACGTAGAAAAGGAAAACGTTTGATGCTGTTGATAATCATAATCATTTTTTTTCTTCATTCAACATAAAAACATGCCAAATTGCAAAATAAATTTGTAATTAACCAAAGTAAATTTGATATCCTTGAATAAAACTTCTGCATCTGGCCTTCTATAGTTTTGAGTTATTTTTTATCTACGATTTTAAAAAATTAAAATTAAAATGTTTAGAGAATTATTCGCTGCCTCCGTGTGTTTGAGTCTTAATAGTCTGGAAGTTTGGTCTTTTCTCTGGGTTCAAGTGGAAGCACTGAGGCATAATGCTACTCCAAGGACTCCGGCACTCTCCGGGGGGAGAAAGTCTCTCCCCTTCCTGGAACACATTCGTGAACACTTCTCTCGGGTCCATTCCCTCGTAAGGCTCCTTACCGTACGAGAACACTTCGTAGATCACGACTCCAAAACTCCACACGTCCGATTTGCTGGTGAATATCTGTTGAGCGTAGGCTTCGGGAGCCGTCCACTTAATCGGGAACCTTATTCCTAAAAATGTCGTTGATCTAAGCTTTCTTTCAAATTGCTTAAATCAACTGAATTTCTTTGTCAATTAAACCGTAAGCAAAAATACTAATATCAGATTGAAGCCCTGAATGTTCCGACTGCGCTTTTTAAGGTCTAACAGAGCAGTAAAAGCATGAAAAAATTAAATGTAATAAAATAAAACGAAATTTTTGTTTAAATTGAAGATTTTTTGTGAAAACCATCCCCTCACACGCCATATAGAGTACAAATTGATAGATTTCGCTCAGTGACGTGCGCAATAACTTTTAATTTGTCTAGGGGGGATTGGTTTTTTTTCCTGAGCTCTCCGATAATACTATAAGGACCCTGTTTTATCAAAAAAAATTCTGCGCTGCAGGCAAACAACAAAAATTCGCGGTTTTTTGGCGCGCGCTCTCCTCTCAAAAATAGTTATATTGGCGCCAAGGGCGCTTTTAGAAAATTTTGAGATTTGTCAGCTAAAATTGGATGTCGTAAAGTTATAGGAAAGGGGGGAGGGGAGCCTTTGGGAAAATTTGGCAACCAGAATTGAGGGGTGATCATCCCCGTCCCCCCTCGGTACGCTATTGATTTAACTCCTAGTAGAAATCTTATTATATAGCAAACAAGACTGCTCGTATCAGGGCAAAGCCCTGAATGTTTCGACTGCTTTTTAAGGTCTATGGAGCAGAAATAACATGAAAAAATAAATGTAATAAAATTAAAACGAATCCCCCGCACGCCATAAAAAAAACAAAGTGATAAATTTCGCTCCTAACACTAAATCAATTATGGCAAATAAGCTTCCTTCAACCAATTTGGAACAATTTCTGAGACGGATTAAATCTTCACTTACGCGTTAATAGCGCGAAGCATATTGCGCGTTAATTGCCCCAAATTAGCCAAAATGGCAACGTTTAAACCCCCATAAATTTACAAAAAATCATCACAGATGAAATATCTTCTAGTTTAAGCTGACGACAGCAATACCGTTTGAATGATATAAAAAATTCCGTCAAAAATGGCTATTTAAAGATCCGAAATTTGTCTAGAGAATAACAACAACCCCGAGCAAAATTATGATGTTATTTTTGTTACAAAGGTCGGAACAATAAGAAGTGATACGCCCATATCTGCAGTTTTCAAGTCTTTCCTCATTGTTTTTATCAAAAAAAAACATAATAAATAAATAAGAACAGAAACCTGTTGTTCCTTGATTAATTACAACAAAAAGAAATATTCTTCTCTTCAAAATTGAACTTTAATTGGGTTGAATGTAAATTGTTGAGAACAATTTTGTACTTAACTCCAATTAAATGCAATTTGTGGTTTTTATTGTTCCAATTTTTTAAACGAAAAGGTTTTTGTGGTTTTTTCTTCAGACAAATTTTCTTTTTCTAACTTGTCAATTTTGACAAAAGTTTTTATATCATTCAAAAGGTATTGTTGTCCTGAGCTTAAATTTGAAAAATTATTTTACCTGTGATCATTTTTCGTAAAGTTATGGAGGTTTAGATATTGCCATTTTGGCCAATATGTGGAACCTGATCTAGACTACATTTTATGATTGGATAATTTAGATATTTTACCAATGTAAAGTATTTAATATTAACCAATCATGATCCATCTAACTAACAACCCACTTATTTGTAAGTGCTGAAGTTACTTGTAATTTCAGCACCAGAGAGATTTGAATTTAACTTAGAAATTAGTTGGACTCTCCCGAGCACTTCAGCAGCCGCAATAAACCAGTATACCCTAGATCTATTGAGCCTAGCAGAGACTAGTTAAACAACCTGAGACTAGATAGTATAAGAGTAAGATTAGGATCGGTATTAGACTAAGAAGTTGCACGAATCTATCCGGCCGAAAATAAGATAGCGTGACGAGCAGACGGTGTACCCTATCCGAAATTACTCTATGAGTTAACCAACTCGGTCCTAACTCATCTGGTGCGACCATAAGTCTCGAACAAGACCTTAATAGCTTAGAATTAACCAAAATAGATTAGAAATTAGACAAAAACATTTAAAAAATGTTATACGACAATAATTTAATCGAAATGTCTCTACGACTCAATAGATCAGAGCCAATATTCCGAACCATAACAGAACTACCCGGAATTGGAAGAAGACCTCGAACCAGAGACGACATAAGACAAAGTAGAAACTTGCCATATAGCTATATGATAGTTCGGCAAAAGCCAGAACAAACTTTTATATTTAGAATACTACTGGCAATGAATTTAGATTTTCATTTGCAAACATAAAACCTTGAAGTTAATCTTCAAAATCATTTCAGGCGCTAAACAAAATTATTAATATACAATAACGATTGATAAAAAGATCTAAGATCGTTTTCCTAAAACTCTGCAGTAATATACAAAATATGTTTGAAAAATATTTATTGAAAAATAAAAAATAAAAATTAGTAGCATGACAATAAATGGTTAGTAATCATAAATCATCCTGTTGTTCCAGCTCCATCACCTAAAACATAACAGCAATCATAAACCCACTAATATCATCAAAACACTAATTCTTTCCTTTACACACATTTAAAATTTTATTAAAACTTAAATTCACTTAATTTTAAAACCAGATCATCAAGGCTTATCCTTGGATCTTAAATCATTTTCTACTTAATTAAATTTCAAATTTGATCATCAAGGCTTATCCTTGGATCAAACAGAACAACTTTGTTCTCCCCCACCCACTTAATTAGTGTCTAACGACCTCAAACGTCGATTCACCACCCAACCCTTTCTAAAGACCTAAGACTAATAGAAATTTTTAAACAAAACTAATCATTCAAATTAGGATAAACAGTGAAGAACTTCGGTTATTCATCCTTCACTTGACCCCCCCTCTTACCAGACCCAGGATAAATCTTAGACTTAGTAAGTTTAAAATAGTATCTAACGAACTACTCGCGTTCTAATTATACCTGAACCTTGTGGATCGATTTACTATTCTCCAACCCTTGAACACAATCACTACCCCTAAGTAAGATTAAGTAAGTTAACACCTTAACTTATACTAGCCACGAGAAAGTAAAAAATCATTCTTCGGAATCGATATACTTTTCTCTCCAACCCTGAAAAAACAGACCCAGGTTAAGCTAACCAAAAAATCGTAAGAACTAACAGTTTAAGAAAATAGAAACCATTTAACAACCTTTTGCATCCGTCATCCTAAACCTTATGTCATTTAAAAACCTAGGAAATAAACAAACAATCGTTTTACACAATTGTGAAATAGATAACAAAAAGTACGACCTTGTAATCACACCTCATACACAAACAGTTGGATACATTCGAACAAAACGACAAACACTAAAAAGAAAAATAATAACGAAACAAAGACAAATAAAACGAAAAAGATTTTCAAAAAATCGAAACGCATTTTCAGAATCAGAAACCAACAGTTTAGACGAACTTTACAAACTAAAAGAATCAATAGATAAAAATTGCTCACTTCACGATCAATTATATTTTTCTGACTCAGAAACAACTTCAAATTCATCAAAAAGAGGAAAAAGAAGAATAAAAAAGCAGTATAAACACAAACCAGTACATTTATACAATTGGAATCAACCAATTCGACACATTAATAATTACATATTAACAGTCATCGAACGAAAAAATGAGCTCAACGCACACCCCAGGTGAAGAAAGTCCAGATGATGATGAAATCTTTCCTTTTATAGTAGATGCAACCACTGATAGAGGACAGCATATATTTTGCAAAAATTTACTATTAAATTTATTTGAACCCGGAATCAGTCCATGTAAAACAGAGTTCCCAGATGTAAAAATCAAAAGACAAATCATAGACCACTACTTAAAAGATATATGCAACATAACACAACAGTATGGAATCTACTCCATAGAATTCACCTCACCAAACCATAATAATAGAAAATATACAATTCAAACAGACGATCTTGATTTAGAATTTTCAAAAGTTTTTTCAGAATATATAAAAAGCATCCAATATCATAACTCACAAAGAGCAAACTCCATATTCACCAATGAAGTTTTCGCAATAATATATAGTTATATTTCGATATTAGAAAACGAAATCCCAATAACAAATGTCTCACCGACAGAAACATCTAAACATTTGAAAGTACGACATGAAATCACACTACTCTCTAGTTATTTAAACATCATTAAAGAAAATTTCACGAAAGACGACGTTTCACAACATACAAAACACGATCTACAAAAAATTTTGGCATGGTTCATAATAGATTATTTCACACACAATATTGATTTAATTGCACAAGCAAGAAAAAATTTTAGACCCCAAAACTCGAACGATGATACCGCTATCACAGAACAATCAGATTATTTTTGGGACCCCGAATGGTCTCATCCCGCATTTATAAGCTTCCCACAATCAATCTCAAGTCAAGCAATAAGTACGATATCTTACATAAGAGATTATGTAAAAGTAATACCATTAACCATTGATGCAACACCATTAAACTATAATACATTTTTGCCCGATACACAAAATAATAGTTTAAACTCTACAGTCATACACAATGAAAACCTCAATGGAACTAGGAATCTTACTCAACAAGATATCCAGACACCATCACACTTCATAAATGAAGAAATTGTACACACAACAACTACACAACAAAGTATTTCACCAATACGCCCAAATTTAACAACACCAAGAAATACAAATCCTTCACAAACACAGGTAACCTTACAATCAACCGTTAAACCTTCGGTTGCTCCTAAATATTCACATATGGATTACCAAACATACAGACCCATGACAATACCATCAAAAACAATAAAAACATTCACTAGAAACAACTTTGCAGACCATAATTATAATTATACACATCCATCAAAAACATATAACCAACCACAAAGAAATTTTAACCAATATACAAGATCTCGAAATTGGGATAACCCAATGACCCAACCTAATTCAATAAATTTCCAAACAAATCCTCCACAGGATCACAGTGAAAATTACCCA